GCACCACGTGAGTCGAAGAGGGCGTAACAAACATTTCGATTGTACATGTGCCCCTCTTAGAGCCCAATGTATATATATGTTTCACACAGCTGCGCTAGGCTCAAACCACACCCCAACAGACTGCAGCCGCAGTGAGAAAAGAGTGCCGCCTGTGGTTAGGTCGGAGTGGGGTAGGATAGTGTAAGAGTGGACCTTAAGATTTGGTCCAAAACTTTTAAACCTGCTACTCCGAGGGACCAGCTAGGTCTGCCACCTGCTACAGCTCCGCCAGCTATCCTGATACAAAAGTCCCCGCCAGCTGGGGGGACGTCGACTTCTTTGGCGAGCTCCTCGGCTACAGCTACACCGATATACACCGCGACTCCGGTCGCCAAGGTGCAAGCGGCTCCGCCCCCGCTAGTCGAGGAGACGCCGCCTCCGCAGGCACCGAGACCACCTACGCCAACGGCGGAGGAGCTAAGACAAGCGGAGCTGGAGACAGACAAGGCGAATGGAAGCAGCAAAAGCTAGCTTCGCGGAGACGCGCCGTGCTAGAGAGGAGAGAGGGATGAGAACCAGCACGGAGGCGATCCAGGCTGGCTACGAGGACGCCCAGAGACGCGCTATGGCTCAGCGAGATGCTGAGATGGCTAGGGCCAGGGCCCGCTATGCTACAACGCAGCAACAAGGAAATGTTGAGTACCAGATATACAGCGCTAACATGGATAAGGTCACGGCGCCGAAGGCCCCGCTACCTGCTAACAGAAAGCTACCTGAATACGTCATCGACCCTACGCGAGGGCCGGGGCTACCGAATCGGGACCACAATGCTCCCATCACTGTGGCCTCGACTGCTACGCTACCTCGAGGAGATAGAGACTGAGTCGCTAGAGCGAGCAAAAAGGGAGGCCGCGGAGCTTACCGTTAGTCCTGCAACATGTGCTAGCTAACCGTGTTGGTTAGAGATAGCGAACCTTTCCACCCGACACCTGCTAGCGAACCAGGAGCCGTCACCATTATTGCTACCGATACCGCAGTCTTGCTATGCAGCATGGGCGTGGTAGCTACATTTTTGCAATTTTCCACCGTCCGAAAAGCTAAATGTACAGGTCCTTCCGGCTAATTTGGCTACTCAGTTCTGCAAGTGTGTGCTAGAGCGAGAGACGGAGAGGGCGTTTTCAGGGGGATCTCTGGGATGGGGTATCCAGGCGACTAGTCCCTACTACAACCAGACGGTCCCTACTGCAACCGGAAGCTGATTTTAGGAAAACCAAGAAGG